CACGCATTTAATTTGTGCCGTGTAAAAGATACGTAGAATGGAGTGATGATGACATGTTAGTTTACTGTTGATGCATTATAACGTGCTATGTTTGTATATCCTGAGCAAATCTCAACGTACTCCCTTATTTATTTTGGGACGAATGTAGTTGGCTATATATTAATATATTAAGATAGATAAGTGTTAGAAAATTATGGACAAACTTGTGGCCGGTTCCTCTCTAATTTGTTCATATTATAACACACTCCTACCATTCTAAATTGGATGACGTTTGTAGCTTTTCTAGGTACATAGTTTCTGCTATGCACTTAGATATACACTGTGTTCTAAATACATGGTAAAAGCAATGTATCTACAAAAGTCAAAACATCTTCCAATTTAGAATGGGGGAGTATTATTTATATACGTACTTTGTTATTTTTCACCAGGTTGTATGAACTTTAGTTATCATTTACTTACTCTATACATTTTCAATCCATATTCATAGTTTTCTCCTTTGCATCGTACCTCCATATATGTTTAGCATGTGTTTAATTGAAATCTTAATTTAGTTATATGTTTTCATGGAAATGGATATGATCAATTCTAGGGATAGAAATGGAGTGGATAAAGGCAGAGAGTAGCCCACCAAAACCCCGACTAAGCCCCAAACCCTTTCACTACTGGAATTCCCCGATTTACATAAGTTTTAAACTCCTAGGGAAAGGTCAAATAACAATAGGGAAAGTAAACTCCCTAGGAAAACTTTCGACAGGAAAGGATTTGTGCCCTATGGTTCTTCAATGAAATTCCTAGGAAAATTTTCTCACCTGGCTTGATAGCTCATCAATACCCGATAATACCTCATCAACCTAACTCTAGCTCGTTTGGCCACCCTCATGCTATCTCCTTTGACCACCACTAGCAGCAGTTGGACAAGTTGCATGGATTGGAGACACCAATTGCCAATCCAAAATATGAGAGGCAACAAATCACGAGTCGTGATCGGTAGAGTATATGTTACTTACTAGGAATTAGTTTGACACCTTTGGAGGAGTCAAAAGCCTTAGGGCTAGGAGGGTGTCGACTATGGCAAGATTGAGCTCACTAGTGCCACTCACGTTCAGCCACTTTGCTATGCCTGATGTTTGTCCTCTACAAGGGCTCACCAACGAAATCTAGAGACTTCGATCTCAATCTAGACTAGTTTGATGTAATGATGAACTATGGTTGTTATTCGTCACTGTGAACACATTTTATATCTCATATTCTCTTAATATTTGTATGAAATGGGAGTTCACTATTTTCTTTTAACGCAAATGGCACGAGCTATGCCTTCTGCTTAAGTAAGGAAAAAGTGAGGTTATGTACAAAGAGTCATCACTATTGATTATGCGCAATAATCTTCACATCCTAGAATATATATGGTTTGATCTGTATGCCATGTTTAATATTTGTTGGATTTTTGGCCAAATCAAGACACAAGAAAATAATAGATCACACATGTCAAGAGTGAGCCAGAGTAGAGCTAACAGGTTCTCTTTGGGGCCCTTGCCAAGGAACACAGATGTACCAATACCAGGCCACTTTGTGTTGATTTCGGCAAATCCTTATATAAAATGGATGTGGGTTGATTGGATTAGAGGTATGTACATTAATGCTTATAAAGTTTGGTACTTCTTTGCGTTGTCTTAAGTTAAACTTTTTAAGTTTGATCAAATTTATAGAAAAGAGCGTCAAAATTTATGATACCAAATTGGTATCATTAGATATACTATAAACTATATTTTCATAATGTGTTCATTTGGTATCACAAATATTTTTGTTTTTTTCAATAAATTGGTTAAACATTAAAAAGATTGACTTAAGATAACTTTATGAATTGTTTTATTTCGGAACGGAGGGAATATCTCACAAGTATAGATAGAATTAAAGCTCTTTAATATGTACTTGAACTTGTAGACTTTTACATAATCCAGAAATTATTTCAATTGGAATATTAAAGCCTTCCTTTGCATGCTAAGTCGGCTACTTAGGGGGTGTTTGGTTCTTTAAATAAACTCCTAAAATTCATATCACATCGAATATTCGGATGCTAATTAGGAGGACTAAATATGAGCTAATTATAAAACTAATTACACAGATGGAGGTTAATTCACGAGACGAATCTATTAAGCCTAATTAATCCATCATTAACACATGTTCACTGTAGCATCATATTATCAAATCGTGGACTAATTAGGCTTAATAGATTCGTCTCGCAAATTAGCCTCCATCTATGTAATTGGTTTTGTAATTAATCTATATTTAATACTTCTTATTAGTATCTAAACATTCGATGTGACATGAATTTTAGGAGCTGCCTAAAGAACCAAACAGGGCCTTATTGGCTTAGAAATAAAAACCGTAAAACTACAACGGGTCTATATTTATTGGGACATCAAATGCTACTAAAAATTTTGTTTGGTCAAGGTAACCTAGTAAACATATACTCCTAAAACTAGTCAGTTCAGTTATTCCTGATCCACAGAGAATCCAACTGACCTCCTGTGTGGGCCCCACGGAGGTTCTTTCTTTGGTCATCCTATTCAGCTCTTCCTTCAAATAGGAGGCTTTTAAGCTTTGACCTCTGTTGTCTAGTTAACCTAATCAGCATTCCCACTAGCACTAAGACTGATAATTGTGTTTGTTAGTTCCAAGGCGGCAGATTTTTTTTTTTCTCCAAGGTCAAAAAAATTTCAGCTTCCTACGCCACTGTGAACGCAAGGAGGAAAGACGCAAAAGGTGAAGCCGAAAGCAACACGGCAGAATCGTTTTTGCCCCTCTCTCTTTGATACGCAACCCCTCTGTCTTTTCAGAAATTGCATGGATGGTACTGAAATTATTATACAACGTTATTAGAAAATTCTGCCGTTGGATTTAGGCCATATTGAGCAAGGTACGCATGCAGTCTCTGTCTTTTCAGAAACCGCGTACTACTTTGAACAGATTTGCATTTCAGTGTGCCATCGTTGAACCATTTCTATGCATTCGATTCTGTAGCGTGTTCTTCAGAAATTTTATGCATCGTAGTGGGAATCCCAAACACCCTGAGGTCAAATCTGCAAAACTGCCCCAGCCTACAGCTTTGTCCGTTATCCCTGCCCCGGTGCCCCCGGCTCCTCCTGTCCTGCCGACTGACTTCCACACACACAAACGCGGCTTTGAAGGAAGGAAGCTGCAGCAGCAGAAAGGAAGGAGAGAAAGATGGTAACTGAAAAAATAAATCCTAAACAAGAGCAGAAACTGAATGAAACAAACAAATCCATGGGATTTGGACCGACAATAGTTGTTCCACAGACTCCAATCCAGTTCAAACCCTTTTCTATTCTTTCTCTCCGTCGTCGTCGATCGCCTGCCTGCTTTAACATTCGTTCCTTGGCCTGGGGGGATTTGGTGCGAGCCAGCAGCAGCAGCAGCGAGCGTGCGTGCATGCCTGCAGACAGCGGCAGCCTGCCGGGTGCAGCGCATCGCATCGCATCGTACCAGTTCCTCCATGGACAAGGAAAGCATGCCGCTTTATTAGATTTTAGACAGACTCCCTTGCTTGCTTCCGTCCGTGTCCACGTCCACCGCCTCCTCCTCCTTTTGCTGCTCACTCATCGTCATCATCGAGTATATAAGCGCACACACACGGAAAGCGTCGTGTTAGTGCCTTGGAAACGGAAGCCATCTCAGGTGCCCGCGTTTGACACGGCGAGAGACGGAGAGGTGGCCTTGTTGGACTTCGTTCTAGAGAAGAGAAGGATCGGAGGTGTTCTCAACTGTATGATGCGTGACTAGGAAAGGGAGGCCACGTTTGGGAGTTTGGAGTAAATGGTGAGAGGGACTTGAGCAGGAGGAGGAAGGTGGTAGCTGGGAGCCTGGGAGACAGCGCGCGGCGGCCTCTGGGCTCTCTGCTGCAATTCTCAGTCTTCTGCGACGGCTACAAGAGCAGAGGAGCTGCGTTTGCATGGGAGCAGGCGAGAATTCTGCACCAGGTGAGTTTCAGAGCTTGCGATTCCATGTATTCAAACTCAGGCTTCGCATTTAGAATTCGTGTTTTTTTTTTTTTGTGAAGCGTGTATTTGGACAATACGTTTTCCTTGTCCGTCTTGCTTGCTAGTAGAAATTTCGGGGTTTTCTGTTGATTTGAGTAGTTGCGACCCGGCCAAAGAAAGCTTATTTTCCGTTTCTGAAGTGATAAGAACTGAATTGCCCTGCCTGTGATCATTTCACATTTCGAGACCGTGCATCTTCTCTCGCTCTGTTTTCAATTTTTCATTCATGGCTTCCTACTTCTCTGAAGGGGGATTTTAATTTTACGATTGACTACGAGAGGAAATTCGATAAATCCAGTGCGTGTTGACACTGCACTTTGTTCCCATTTTTTTCCTAGTGTTAAAGTAAAAGCTAGATATTGATAGTTTGCTGCTGGTGTCTAAATATCTGTAATGCCATTCTGAATCTCAAACTTTCACATGTCAGTAGTCATCCATATGTCTGGAATTCAGTTTTTCCTTGAAATTCCTTCAGTCTTCTTGGTGTGAAAATAGCACTGCCAATCTCACCGTATTCAACGGAGTAACATTCCCGCCATGACTGTTGTTTGACTCGCACCTGTTAAAGTTAGGCACGGAAGCAAATTCAGCAGCCCACAACGTGACAGGAAGTCAGGTCATCTTCCAACAAGTCAGTCTGAAATCTGTGTCCAACGACGCCACATTAGAAATTTTAATTTATTACGTTCTGACCACTTAGGCAGGACTGGAGGAGCAGTCATGTATGCTCGGCCTAGCCAAATTGAACTGTACAGTGCCATGGTTTATCTGTATCAGTGTGCCAGTAACTGCAAATAGAGCTTACGCCTTCGCACATGCGAAAAGCTTACTTCTTTGCAGATCTATTGCATCGTGTCTTTTGGTTTTTCCTCTCGGTCTTCATATATCTGAATCGAGATCGGAGTGTAATTCTTGGAGCTTTTCTGATGGCAGCTTGCTAGCATGGAACCGAGGAGGTTAGAGCGATTAGTGTTCCTGCTCTGCTGCATTGCGGCAATCACATGCAGGCTACACGCACAAGCTCAGGCCCAAACAACTCTGCAACACACCAAAAGCTCAACTCACACTGGAGCAGGTGACTAACTCCTCATTTGTATCATATCATAGATAAACCTCGCAAAATCTATCGCAAGCGGTAACATGCAAGATAGGTTTACTTAGAATAAAAATCTTTCAAGAGGTGAAGTAGCATGCCAGGACAGCAAAGTTGCCCTGGTTAACTGTTCTACTAGTTGACATTGTGCTTATCTGTACTGCATTATTCTTTCATGTTGTTTGTACAGTTCTATTTGACATTTTTCTTGTCGGAAGTATATGTGAATATGGTTACCTTATCTTTGTTGCTTGGGTGATCAGTGGGTAGGAATTTGTCAGAGTTGGGAAACAGATCAGAGAGTGTGCTCTCAAGAAGAACGAGGAGAGTTGATCCTCTTGAAGGACTGAGGAAATATGAGGGAGGGTACAACATCACTGACAAGCACTACTGGAGTGTAAGCTCTCTGTGCTTCTCTAAACTCTGAACATACCATTTTCTCTGAACTCTGAACATACTATGCAGCCTTTTAGATACTGAGCGTATTATAATACGAAATATGTATTAAAAACATAATCATAGTACTTTTCTTCAATGTGCAAAAGTCACTTTGTATATTGATAGACATAACATTAAATCCATGCCAGGATTAAAACTGATCATTGTCTTGTTTACTTTTCCAGTCGGCCATATTTACAGGTAGATCTGGATATGTGATGTCAGGATTATGGATTATTGGTGGAATCATTTTCGTTGTAGTTCTTCTCGTCTCGAAGATTTTCTTCTCAAAAAGGAAAGAAAGATACACTGACTTGGACTATTTCCTTGAGAGATATCAAATTTTGACTGTGATACTCTGTATCCTCCTTACAGTTTTTGTCATGTAAGCTGCGGTGTTACACCAAGGATAATCTAAATTTCAACTGTATTGTTTCTATTCTGCAAACATATGAAGCAATGCAGTTAGTAATCTACTCTGGCATTTTATTCGCAGAGTTTCTTCAGCAGTTGCGCTTTGCGGCACGGTACAATTCCACTCAAGAGCAGAATCTGTGAAAGAGATAATTGGGACGACTGCACTCGAGGCGACAGCGACAATTTACAACATAACAGGTGCCATTGAGAAGATGCAGAACACATCGAATCTGTACAACTACACCAGCCAAGCTTGGGGTCATCTGAATGCCACAGTTGAGGCGCTCAACTCTGAGGCCGTGGAGATTCAGGCAAAGGCGGAGAAGAACATGCGCTTGGTTAGCAAGGGAATCAGGACTCTGTAAGAGCTTTTCACATCATGAGCTAGATCAGTAGAGTAATGCTCCTTATGGTACTTCTTAATCTGCACTGGAACTAAGACATCCAATGATTTCAGGGAACTTGTGACAATTTTATGTGTGACACTGAATCTTGTCGCATTACTGGTGTTGCTGGGTAAGTGAACATGATGCAATAATTTTCAGTATGCAACATGTACCTTGCAGTCTTGCTAGTATAGCTGAATCTAACACAATTGCTTCTCTGAATATTGCAGTAGGGAAGCCTCTAAGGCTGCAAAAGCTGTGTTGCTTGTGAGTATCTAACCTTCAGACATCAGAAAAAACCATCTGAACATACAAACTGAAACCTGTGTCCTTTCAGCCCGTACGTCGTTCTGATTACTTGGATCCTTGTGCATCAGGTGCATGGTCTTCTGCTGGATACTGACAGCCCTATTCTGGATGTACTTCGGCCTGTACTACTTCTTCGACAAGTTTGCCGGCGACACGTGTGTTGCCCTGGACGAGTACCAGCTGAACCCTCAGAATAGCACGCTGGGCACCATCATACCCTGCAGCGAGAAGCTCTCCGCTGACGTGATCCTGCACGACGTCGGTGCAGGCATCCATGACATCATTAACCAGGTGAATTCAAACATTTACACGATCAAATCAGAGTACCCGGTGAAGCAGCTGGACTACATCTGCAACCCCTTCACGGGACCGCCGCAGTACCAGTACAGGCCGGAGAACTGCCCCTCCGGCGCCTCCACCATCGGTGACATCCCGCAGGTGAACACAACCGTAGCTACAGTTCAGATTCCAGAACAAATGTGTATGTATGGTCAATTGCTGTTGATCTTGACATGGCGTTGCCTCCTGTTGTAAAGATCCTGAAGAGGCTGACGTGCTCAGACTTCGGCGGCGGCGCCAACTGCCGCCCGGCCGACCTCTCGTCGGCGATCGACTACGACAAGGTGCAGTCGTACACGAGCTCCATCCAGAACGTGCTGGACATCTTCCCGGGCTCGGAGCGCCTGGTGAGCTGTGAGCTGGTGAAGGCCGGCTTCGCGGACATCGTGGGCAACCAGTGCGCCCCGCTGCGGCGCGGCGCGCGCGCGGCGTGGGCCGCGCTCGCCGCGCTGTCCGCGTCCATGGTGCTGCTGATTCTGCTCGTGCTCGTGGCAACCAACGGGCGCCACCCCGGCGACGACTGCCTGTCCGTGCGGCACCTGACGTCGTCGACCAACTCGGAGATCTCGGAGGCGGAGTTCGCCGAGATGCACGCCAAGAAAGTGCGGATCAGGGTCGGGCCATGAGCTGACCCGACAAAGCTGACATCCGATTCTTTTTGCTGTGTTCTTTGTCATTTGCAGAGAGGAGGGAGAGTTAAGGATATATACTGCCGGCGGTAGAGACCGATCCGGAAGAGATCGTCCACCGCCGGTGCTCCATTGTCGCTTAGATGTTTGGTTTGGTTTTGTTGTCTCCGATGGTCTGGAGAATCCAGCCATTGTGTTGGTGGTATAGGAAAAGCAATTGGTTTCTGTATATGAAGTATGAACATCAATCAGTAATTGCAAAAGCATTGAAACATAATAGCTGCTGCACAATTTGATCTACATTTTTAACAGTAAAAGGATCTATAGGTCCATCGATGACCTGTCGCGCAGATATTTTATTCATTATGCCAAGGATCTATTTTGAGCAGGAGTTTGTTAGATTTCGTATTATGCTCCCCACAGAGGCAGGACCGTACATGTGCTATGCTAAGCCTAGTATCTCTAGAAATTTCATTAGAGTTTTATCCACATTTAGAGCCCGTTTGGAGGGGTTTCTCCGGGCTCCGGCCCCGACACTGTAGCACAGAGCCCGAGAAGATTGAAATCGTGGCTCCACCGGCTCTTCCTCTTCTCGGTTCATTTTCTACCTCAAAATCCAAAACGGCTTCGTGCTACAGTGATTTCACGGAGGAGCCGGAACCCCTTGGAGCTATGCTAAACACAGCCTTAATAAGTTGCCACTTGCCACGCATAAACATTCTTATGACAATAACAATGTTTTTATAAGAGAAAAATTCATGACCGGTCCTTTAACTTGGCACGAGGTGTTACTTAGATCCCTCTACTGTTAAAATGTTATTTCTGAGTTCATGAACTTGGCTTCATCTATCAACCAGGTCCAAATGGGTCCTAACCCGCTCTGCACACTGACCTGGCATGCTGAGTGTGCATCTAACACGTGGGATCCACGCGTCAGGGGAATAACAAACACGTTTTTCTTCTTCGTCCGGCTCGCGTGCGCAGGAAACGCCGGAGCTCGCGGTTGGGCGGGCGCGCGCGAGGGCGCCGACGCGGAGGCTGCCAGCGGGCGCGGACCCGGCCCCGGCCCCGGTTGGCGAGTGCGCGGGTGCGGGCGCGGCGGCCTCCGACCGGCGATGGGCGCAGCGCGCGGCGGCCTCCGGCGGGCGCGGCCCCGGCCGGCGAGAGCGCGATCCGCGATGCCAAAAAGCAGCCGGTGTCGACGGCGGCGGCAACGACGGCACCTGCATCAACATGTAGAAGTCGTCAAGGCCAAGTGAAACTTCTCCACCTATCGTCGCAGCTGCTGAGAAGAAGATGAGAGGCAGTACGTTTTCCGTTGCGGCTATGCTTTGGATCATGTGCGTATGCATATCAATCAGCATCCATTGCCCAACTAAACAAATGGAGAAGACAAAAGGCAGAGACGTGAGAAGCAGGGACGAAGGCGGAGCACGCACGAGGTCAACAGGGACAGCCGGACAGGGAGCCGGCCGCGCGAGGAGGCGGGCAGGCGGCGTCGCCGCGGTGGCCGCGCTGGACGACCCGCACGCCATACCCGCGCCGCTGCTGTTGAGGAGAAGAACCTGGATGGCCGCTCGGTGGCGTAGCTTGCGTGCTCGGCCAACATCTGGAACACGGCGCTGCCCTCGTCGTAGTTGCGGCCGAACGTGGCGATGGCGATGGCCTCCTTCGACAGCCGCTGGTACCACTCCGCCTCCGCGACATCCACCTCCACCTCGCCCGACGACAACGACGGCAGCAGCACGCTCTCCTCTAGAATCCGATGCACGGTGTCGGCGACGAAGGGCGCGGGCAACTTGAGGTTCTGGGAGTGAAAGGCGGGCGATGAGCGCGTTCGACACCGGTGGCCGAACGCCACCAGCCTGACGAGGCCGCTGCCGGCAGCCTGTCGAGGGCAACGGAGAGGCAGAGCTCGAGGGCGCGGCATTGCAGCGGGTGCGCACCGCCGGCGCCACCAGCGACGCCAGGTCGGGTACCGGCGGCGGCCGAGCGAGCGCACGCTACGCCACATCAACATAATGAGTAAGTTAAACCTAGAAGAGACCCGAACCAAGTTTATAAGGATCTAAAAATAGCATCTTGAGAGTCCGAGAACCTAGACGGCACCCAGTTTAAGGACTGACGATGAATTTTTCTTTAAAAAAAAAAGAAAAGCAATGGGTTTCGTATAGGCGTAGCTCTCTCAGCTTGGTTTCTAGATGAGTCAGAATTAAATATCAATGAAATAAAAGAATAAAAGTATATATCAAGAGTGATTGATCCATACTTCATGCATTTTGTATTCTTAAAAATAATGTCATGAAACTCCACATTAAAAATGGCCACAGTAAATAATTGCTTTTCAGGTTTAGAGAAATTCCTCATCTAGCTCTCGCCATCGTGCGGATTGAGGGAATCCTTGCTCTCAGCCACCACATTGGCCTCGCGCGCGTGCACAACTGCCATCACGCCTCGCATCATCGTTCTACGCAATGCCATATGTAAAGGTGTAAATGGTATTGATTATTTTGTTACCAACCATTTGATTTATAAATTCGCTGGTTGGTTTTAGCCGGAGCTTATCAGCTATAGTATAGTGTTTTCCTCTCACAATAAACCAGCATCAGCCGGGCTTATCAACCTAAAAACCAACCAACGAACATCCTACATATCTGAATCAAGATATTTAATGTCCATACTATATTAAAATATTCAAATTCATATATATCGTCGGCAACAAAAAGAACACTGAATTGTTCTGTAACACCCTGAATTTTGCAATATTTTGAAAATAGGTGAATTGGATTTATTTATGAAATAGTATGTGTATGCAACATAGAAAAATAATAAATTTTATCAAATTAAAATAAAATATAAGGTCTTCATACATGCTTATGCATTCATGCTGCTGCATATTATTTTTGTATTGTGTGGTTTGAAATCAAATTTCAAATTGATTTTAATTTGTATTCAAAATTGGTTTGAAAATTTAGTTTAGAAAAAGAAAAGGAAAACTCTCTCCCTCTCTCATTTTCGGCCTGTTCTCCTCCGCATGCTCAGCCACCCCTCTACCGCTCTTGGGCCGCCCCGCTCCCCTTGTTATTTTCCGCATGGCCCAGTTTTCCCGTTTGGCCTCGTTTCTTCCCGCAGCGGTGTGAGGTCCTTTTGGCTCTCCGCCGAGGAAAGGTCAAGAACCCCTCATAATTATCACGATCAAAGCCGGAGACAATCATCAACCTCCGCTCGACGATTCTCACTACTCCAAGTCGTCTAGGTGGCGGAAACCACCAAGAGTAACAAGCGAATCCTGTAGCGAAACACGAACACCAAGTGCCTCTAGATGTAAACACTCAAACAATGCATTTGGATTCTCTCCCAATCTCACAAAGATGATGAATCAATGATGGAGATAAGTGGGAGGGCTTTGGCTATACTCATAAGGTTGCTATGTCAATGCAAATGGCCAAGAGAGTGAGCTAGAGCCGGCCACACGCCTTTAAATAGAGCCCCCAACGAAATAGAGCCATTGGCTCCTCTGTCCACTGAAACACGGGCTGACCGGACGCTGGACCCCTGCGTCCAGTCGCTCGATGCCCGCCATGTGTCTCCTCTTTTGAAACTACACCATGCGATCTTAATGGTCATCAGTGCACTTAAGTTGTAACCAGACGCGCTGCAGTGTAGGACCGGACGCGCCCTCACCTTGCATTCGATCACTTCCAGTAAGGTTCCAGAGGCGGAAAATCTTAACTGGACGCGTTCGTTCCACCATGACCGGACGCACCGGTGCGTCCGCTCCTCCTCTTCTCTACACGCCGCCACGTCAGCAGGACCAAACGCTAAATAGTGTTCAGCCAGAGTCCGGTCACTTTCTTTCTCCGAGTCCTGTCACAGGGCAAATCGAGCCTGAGAGGACCATCTTCATTTATAAATGACCGAATGCTCGAACCCTGAGTTCGGTCACAACATGACCTGTGTCTAGTCACTGTTTCACAGTGACAATCATCTCCTTTACTTCACCAACTTCTCCACCATTAATCAAATGTGCCAACCACCAAGTGTATCACCTTGTGCACGTGTGTTAGCATATTTTCATATACATTTTTAAGGGTGTTAGCACTACACTAGATCTAAATGCACATGTAATGAGTTAAAGCATCTAGTGGCACTTTGATAACCGTATTTTGATTTGAGTTTCACCCCTCTTAATAGTATAGCTATCAATCCTAATTGTGATCACACTCACTGAGTGTCTCGATCACTAAACCGAAAAGCTCCTATCAATTTCACCTTTGCCTTGAGCTTTTTATTTTTCTCTTTCTTCTTTTCCAAGTCCAAGCACTTGATCATCACCATAGCATTACCATCATCATGTCATGATTTTCATTTGCTTCACCATTTGGAATGTGCCACCTATCTCATAATCACTTTGATAAACTAGGTTAGTACATATGGTTTCATCAAGTTACCAAAACCAAACTAGAGCTTTCAATCTCCTCCTTTTTGGTAATTGATGACAACCCTTTCACAAAGATATGATTTGAAATTTAATTGAATCCATGTTGCTTGCCCAAGCATATTTACCATGTGTAAAAGGATATAGACAAGTTTCATGAATCCCATATGGTAGCAATTGCTCCCCCTACATATGTGCTAAGAGTTTGGATTGTAACTTGCACATATGCTTAGATAGGAAATGTAGGAGTCAATGTCTATCAAATGATGCTAAGGTATAAGAGATGGACCTTTGAAGCATGATACCAATCGAAGTGCACCAATATACTATCCTTAGCACCATTAGTAACTAGACATACACAAAAACTAGAATACCCCATGAGATCAACATTAGAAGCAAGGGTCTAGTTTCCATGAATATAAGTCTAGTTTCTTAACCTATGCATGCTAGTTTTTCATTTCATCATTCAAACCTAAAACTAGCATACACCACACAAGCATGGATAGTGAAATTTAAAACTTGTGCCATGCAAATTGATCCCCTTCTTTTGTCATGTCTCTCCTATGTCAAATAATTAACATTTATTGTCTTTTCACTATCTTTGTACACTATTTTCCCCCCTTTGTCATCAATGACCATAAAGGTTTAAAATATAGATAGGTTGAGATTATCAATGTCAATCAATGGGGTGAGGATCATTTTCCCAAATTTGGTTCAATTTAGAACACTTGCCAAAGATATTTAACTCGGTTTGATCCAAGGACAAGCTTCTTCACACCTCCAAATAAGGGTTATCTTGTACCATGTTGAGTTAAACATTTAGAGCTCATTTTCTAGATTAAACACTAGGTTTATAAGCCCACAACGTGTCATATGCTACCACTAAATCAAGTCAAGCATAGAAGCAATAGTGGTACCATACAAACATCAAAATCATTTGATTTTCATGAATGAGCCTACTAAATGTGAAAGATGACTAGATGTACTAAACATGTCCTTTGTAAGGATATATGCCATGCCAATCAACTTTTACCTTAGATTGCTCGAAGGAGAGGCATGTCATATAAGTGGGGGTGCATCAACACATATTTGAGAAATCCAATATGTTCAACTCCTTCCTTAGCTTGCAAAATATTTTCTCATTCAATGGCTTGGTGAATATATCGGCAAGTTGATCTTCGGTGCCCACACTCTCAATGCAAATAACCCCTTTTTGTTGGTGATCTCTTATAAAATGGTGGTGGACATCAATGTGCTTTGTTCTTGCATGTTGAACCATGTTGTTGGTTAACTTGATTGCACTTTCATTGTCACATAGCAATGGCACTTTCTTGAACTTGATTCCAAAGTCATTCAAGGTGGCCTTCATCCAAAGTATTTGTGCACAACTACCGGCGGATATGTATTCGGCTTCGGCAGTTGATAATGCAACACTATTTTTCTTCTTTGATGACCATGAAACAAGTGATCTTCCCAACAATCGACATGTACCCGAGGTGCTCTTCCTTTCAACCTTGCATCCCGCATAATCCGAGTCGAAGTAACCAACTAGCTCAAACTTTGCTATTTTAGGATACCACAAACCAACATTTTGTGTATGCTTTAAGTACCTTAATATTCTCTTTGTAGCCTTCAAATGACTTTCTCTTGGTGAGGCTTGAAATCTTGCACACATGCATACACTAAACATGATATCCGGCCTTGATGCGGTCATATAGAGTAGGCTTCCAATCATAGACCGATACAATTTTTGATCAACCATATTGCCACTTGCATCACTATCCAAGTTGCCATTTGTCCCCATTGGTGTGCTAGTGGCTTTTCTATCACTCATGCTAAACTTCTTGAGCATGTCTTTCATGTACTTGCCTTGATTTACAAATGTACCATTCTTCAATTGCTTGATTTAAATACCAAGGAAGTAACTTAACTCTCCAATCATGGATATTTTAAACTCATTAGCCATCATCTTTCCAAACTCTTCAAAAAAGTCTTGATTGGTTGATCCAAATATGATATCAACAATATAGATTTGTAACACAAATAAGTCTTTGCCAATCTTCTTGATGAAAAGAGTGGTGTCAACCTTGCCCATCATGAACCCTTTAGAGAGTAGGAAGTCCCTCAATCTCTCATACCATGCTCTAGGTGCTTGTTTCAATCCATACAATGCCTTCTTCAACTTGTACACATGGTTGTGCTTCTTGTCATCTTAAAAATCAGGAGGTTGCTCAACATATACTTCTTCATTGATGTAACCATTGAGAAATGCACTCTTAACATCTATTTGATAGAGTTTGATGTTGTGGGCACAAGCATAGGCTAATAAGATTCTAATTGCTTCCAATCTATCAACTAGGGGATATGTTTCTCCAAAGTCGAGACCTTCAATTTGTGTATAGCCTTGTGCTACCAATCTTACTTTGTTCCTTACCACTATCCTATCTTGATTTTGCTTGTTTCTAAAGACCAATTTGGTTCCAATAACATTG